GGGGGGGGGGGAGGAGGGGTGGGTGCTGTGGTTAGGGCCGCGGCCTGACCGTCTTGGACGTCACTGTCGTGTCGATTGCTTTGTGCCTGGCTGCAGCTGCCGGCGTCGTGTCTGGGACCGCCAAGCACCCCGCACGCGCGGCTGTTCAGGTGTTCAACAGCTGCGCCGCTGAGGCGCGCCATTGCCTGCGCGTGCGCATGCGTGGGCATGCCCACGCCCGGGTGCATACACACGCACAACGCATCTGCATTTTTGACCGCGAAACCCACCCACCACCCACCCGCAGCCCGATCACCCAAACCTGCTTCAACACACATCCTGGCACGCACGCACGCGCGCACAGACACGCGCACACACACGCACACAACACACAAACACAATCACACACACTCTCTCTCAGGCCCTCACACACACACACACACACACACACACGCACACGCACACGCACACGCGCGCACACACACACACACACTTACGCATTCATGCGCTTCCCCCCTCCCTTCCAGGTGCGCTACCTGCTGTGGTCCTACGACCTGCCGCTGGTTGACTCATACTTTATGCTGGACTGCGACGAGGCCAACGAGGTTGCAGATAACGAGGTTAGCCAGATGATCGATTTCGAGGGTGCTCTGGGGCGCCCCGTCCTCGGGATCGACCCGCTTCAGCATGGCTCGCTTCACCACACTTCCCGACCGCACGGCATCGGCAGCGTCGGCGTCGGCGTCGGCGACAGCGGCGGTGGCCTTCGCCAGGATGAGTCGCGGCCCGCCACCCTGAACGGCGGCGGACGCGGCGGCCCCGTGCGATTGCGGCGGCTGGCGCGTGAAGACGCGCAGCTGGCTATGGCGGGGCTCGAGGCACGGTGACGGCGCGGCTCGCCGCCCGGCATTGCAGCGCCCAAGCGGCATGTTGCTGTGTTTCCCCATGTTGCTGTGTCGCCTTTCCGGCCTCCGTCTGTGGGATTCTGTCAGCCTCCGTTTTTGGGATCCTGTCGGCCTTTGTCTTTGGGAGGTGGCTGGACAGTTTTTTTTTGCAAGATCATGTCGCAGCTGTGGCTTTGCTGTGTTGTGGGCTTGGCTTCATTTGGCAATCACACGATATTTTGTCATTGCTGAACTGTTCATCCCAGGCAGGTGCGGCATACAAAACTGCGTGGGCGACGCAGGTGTTGCTTCCACTGGAGCCCCTTACAGTTGACCAATCCATTTTGACCTCATGTTGGCACGCGGATGTCGGTGACGGCCGATAGTGCATTTTGCATCTGCACACTGTGCGCTTGTGAGGGCTGACTGCAACAACTGCAGTGGCAGACCCACCCACAATCGCGGACGCACCTGAACGTAACACATCGAGTCGATCATGAGATCTTGGTTAAGAATGTGGAAAAAGGTTTCCATCGCAACTAATGAAAGCGTTGGCTGCAAGGGCAGATGTCGCGGTACGCAAGCAGAGTGTGCGATGACCCATTTTTTTGACTTGGCCGGTTGACGCAGTGAGGCGGGTGAGAAACCCTGGCTGCACGGCTGAATGATGTAGGACAAATCTGGCCCCTGCTCCGTGTTGCATCGTCCTCCTGGCGCCCCACGCTCCTTGCTGCGCCCTTCAACACAAGGTGTGGTGAGTGTTGGGAGTACCGGCAAACAGAAGAGCAGAACGGGCGCTGCTGTCATTGTCTGCCTCGGTTTTGCAATTGATGAGCTACCGTTGTACGAATTTAGAAGACTACGACCTCAGACGTCTCACACCGGGACGGTCAGCGCGAGTGTGTGTCAGGCAGCTCGACCTGCGAAATTTGCTCTGCCACAAGAAGAGGCCGTCTCCCCATTCGCAGCGTACCTTTACCAGACGCTTCAAAGCGCCGTTAAAACTCACACAAATCAAACAATGCAGCTGCAACGTACTCTCGCGGGGCCTGGGAGCCTGCAGAGCAGCCGGAAGGCCCCCTCCGTGCGCTGCGCCGCCCAGGTGCGCGCGAACAGAGAATTTTTGTGCATATGTACGCATTATTTTGCTCCGACACCTCGCGAAGCGTTTGTACCCATGGTAGGGTGAAGGGCGCCGGTGAACAATGCCAGCAGGTTCGCTGGAGCAGGGCGACACAGCATTTCTGAAGAGTGTTGTCGTATATATGTCCAGACAAGCCACGTGCACCGCCATCCTGGAGGTCATCGCGCATTGCCCCGCGCCTGCCCGCGGTTTCGCCCGCTACCCCGCCGAATCTGCAGGTGAAGACCGCCGAGGCGCCCGCTGGCGCGGTCTCCGCGCCCAGCAGCAGCACCGAGGCCGAAATCTACATCGGCTTCCCCAAGGGGGACTACGCCCCGAGGTACGCGCGCCCTGGCACGCCCGCGCGCCCCCTGCTGGCGCCGCCGCCCTCGCGCACCTGCGCCGCAGCCAAACCTCTGACAAGGCCATCCCAGCCGTGCCCCACCCTGCCTGACGCCCCCTCCTCCCCGCCCCGCCTGACCGTTTGGGCTCCCCGTGCCGCTCTTCCCTCTCAGGGAGGGCCGCAAGGGGCGTGTCGTGAAGGATGACCCCCGCAAGTACCCCTCAAAGGAGGACCTCGGCTTCCTGCCGGGCGCCACTGGTGAGGGGTTTTGGCGGGGAGTGGTGGTGCATGGGGCCTTGGAGAATTGGGAAGCTGAACAGGCAGGGGGGACTTGAGCTCTTCAAGGAGCTGCGCATGGCGGGCGGCTGCGAATCCGAGCAGCGGCAGGGGCAGGGCGGAGCGGCGGGGCGACGACGGCTGGAAAGTGGCAGCCGGTGCGGGGCTGGCCGCGTCTTCGAGGGGTGCAGGCGGGCTGCCCAGACGGTGTTCCGTCAGCCAAAGAACGCTGTGCGCATCAGGGCCGCGCCTCGCGCTCTCCCGCCAACGCGCCGGTCCCCTCGAATCAATTGGCGCCGCGCCAGGGCGGCCCGGCGCCTGCGCCGTCCGTCGCCGCCCGCACTCAATGGCCGCAAACCCCTACTTCCATGATCACCCAGGCGGCTGGGCGGGCGGCGAGGCGGGCCTGTGGAAGTTGAGGGAGGAGGTGCTGGCTCAGAAGGAGAAGAAGAAGAAGTGGGCCGAGGCGGCCGCTGCGGCGCCCTCGACGCCCATCAAGCCCGCGGTGCCGCAGCCCGAGGGCGGCAAGGCGCCGATCTACCTCGGCTACAGCAAGAGGTGACGACCGCTGACGTCATCGGGAGGCGGGCCTGGCCGCCTGTCTGGATTCGGGCCCCAGGACCCTGCCACCCCATCTGTGCCCGGTGCCGGTGCGGAACACTCTCCCCCCAACACAATCTGAACGCCGATCCGCCTGCCCTCTCACCCCGAAAATCTCACCTCTGATCTCGGGCGTCCCCTCGCCTTCCGCATGCCCTGTTGCGCAGTGACACGGATCTCCGCAAGGTGGGCGCCCCCGGCCGCATCATCCTGGACGACCCCACAAAGTACCCCGCCAAGGAGGACCTCGGCTTCTTTGGTGAGGCCCGGCAGCTTCCGGGCAGCTTCCGGGGTTGCGACGACGGCGGGCGGTGGTAGAAGACGACCGCAGCGGGCCGCACGGAAACATGGCAGGGAAGGCGGCACTGGATCTATGGCCTCCGAGCGCCCTCTGCTTGCAGCAGCAACAAAACAGGACCGCGCCCTTTACATTCAGCAAGGTCCTCCCTGCTGCCCAGCCGCCAGCTCAGCCGCCCTCTCCCCAAAATTGCACCACCAAACCGCCACCTGCCTGCGTCGCCCTCCCCCTCCGCGCAGCCGGTGCCACCGGCGGCTTTGCTGCCGGCGAGAAGGGGCTGAAGCAGTTCGTGCGCGACGGCGAGCTCCAGCTGCGCAAGGTGCGCGGTGCAGGGGCCGGATGAGGCAGCCGCTCGGCCGGCTCGCAGGGCGCGACGCGTGCTCACCTAGCCAAAGACACTCGCCCAGTTCTCCTCGACTGCGTTACACGCATAGCTTGACCTCACTGTAGGGGCGCGTCCGTCCACTCTGGGCATCTCTGCACCCACATTGTGCCACCCAACCCCCCTGACAATCCTCCTCCACCGCCCCGCCACACCCCCTCCTCGCGATGCTACAGGAGGGCGAGCCGGGCGGCAATCAGTTCAGCCCCGTGGCGATCGCTGGCCTGCTCGTCCTCGCGGGCGCCGGTGGCGGCCTGCTGCTCAACGGCGTGGCTGACGTGGCCTCCGAGGGCCTGCAGGGTGTTCCTGCCATCACCGAGGTGAGCCGGGACCCTTTGCTCCGCTGCATGCGATTGCGTTTCTTGCCTTGTTTTGTGGAGTGCAATCAGTCAACAGCACGGGCCCACGCACTGATCGGCGTGAGGCGCACAAGAGGGCTCCTGGTGCAAGCGGAGCACAAGAGGGCTCCGCTTGCACCAGGAGCCCGTCGTTTTCGGCTCGGCACGGCCGCCCGCAGCGCAGGCCGCGCGAACGGCGCAGCACGCTCTGCTATGCGCGCGGCAGCACCGCAGCCTGCCGCCCTCCGACTCGTCCCCCATGCCTCTCACTGACGCCATCGCGGCCCGCCTTTCGACTGGACAGGCCCCCATCGATGACAACACGAAGACCCTGTTGCTCGCCGCCCTCGGCCTGCTGGGCGCCGCCGGCCTGGTCGCCACCGGCCGCGCCGCGGTCGCGTCCGCGACCGAGAAGGTCGCCTCTGAGGGCCAGAGGCTGGCGCTGCTCGCCGGCTTCTGGGTGGCCGTCTTCCTCGCCGCCCGCGCCATCCTGGTGGCGTGAGCGGCGGTGTTCACGAGGCGCCGCTCGCGCGTCGGACGCCCATTATGGCGCCGACGGCCGCGCAGAGGCGGCGCGGGCGCGCGTGCGTGCGTGCGCCCGCCGCCGGCGCGGGCGGGGCCGGCCGTCGCTTGTCCGTCCGAGATCGCGTGATGTTCGTCGCCCGCCCGGAGCCAATTGCTTCACGAGAGGGGTGCTACGAGGGAAGAAGCCTGAGGAGAGGCGAGGGACATGAGCGCTCGAGCGGAAGCCCGCGAGGCTGTGCTGAGCTGGATCGAGCACCGCGTCGCACGGTGCATCGCAAGGCCCCAAGGCCCCTTTTTTTAACCCTTTGCTGTACACAACCCTTTGCCGCCGCCACTGCTGGTGCCGCTGCTGCCGGTGCTGCTGCTGCCGCTGCTGCTGCTGTCGCTGCTGCTGCTGTCGCTGCTGCTGCAGTTGCTGCTGCTGCTGCTGCTGCCCGGGAGCGCGCGGGGGCTCGCAAGGCAAAAATCTCCATACCTTGCACTGTTCTGTGTTTGTGTGTGTAAGTGTGCGTGTGCGTGTCAATTGACAAATGTCGAGCACCATGCTGAGTGCTGGAGCTCGCCCAAGGGGACACAGTCTCCGCCAGGGCTGACGCTCGTGCTTGCTGCTACATGAGTGGCGCGTCAATAGTGGGAGAGAGGGCATATTATCCCTGGACTGGTCCGTGCGACTGCGACTCTCTCCTGTAAAATCATCCTGAGAATGCAACTTCGACTTCTTTTGGTTGGGGTCAGCTTGAAGGACTGACATGGCCAAGCAGGTGGCACACAGGAAAATGCAGGGCAGCTGTCCTACAGGAAACTGCTGGGCAGATGGCATCCGTCAGACTGCTGGGCAGCTGGCAGCAGGATCCGCTCTGGGGCCGCGGTGCGCACAGGGGCCAACATGCTGGCGGCATCTTCCCTGGGAAGACCTCGAAACGGGTTGGCCCAAAATTGTGCGCGTGTCACCAGGCGGTTGTCCAGTGACGCTGGACGCACAGGTGCCACGTACAACACGATGCGACCCGCACGGAACCTGGCCTCTTGCCTGGCCTGTTTATGCAATAACGTGCAGTACGCATGTGTAGTGGCCACCTGGTAGTGTGCAAGCTCCTGATGCAGCTGTGATGGAGACCCTGACTAATGCGTCGCGGCCCACCCTGCTGGGGAGGGCGCCTGCATCCCTCCCCAGCTACTGTTGCACTCCAGTTGGCAACAACCAAACCCTGATATAACCGCCCGTCTTTCCACATGACATAGCAGCAAGTAACGATGTCCCGTTGCGCAACCCCCCCATCCCCAAACCGAGTGCTCGCCCCCGCCGGCAGTCCAAGGGCGCCCGCTCGAAGCCCGTCCGAGCTGCTGCGACCGTGCGCCGCCAAGGGGACGGCAACATCGCTGCCTCCGCCGCAGCCACGCCCCGGCCTGCAGCGGCGGCTGGGGAGCCCGCAGGGGAGGCCTGCCGGGCGGCAGCTGATTGCTGTGTGCTGACATCCAGTCCCTTCCCGACTTGAGAAAACAGAGGAATTCTGCCTATTGACACATTCGAGAACGCTGTGGCACGCCAACACGCGCCAGGGCCCTGCATGCGTCCTCCCCTAGAACCAAGAACGCACAACGCGCCGCTCAGTGCTTGAAGTGCCGCACCCCGGTGGTCACGAGCACCACCCCATACTTGTTGCAGCACGCGACCGCGTCCGCGTCGCGCATGCTGCCGCCCGGGTGCGCTATCGCGGCCACGCCGGCCTGGCAGGCCTTCTCGACGCTGTCGCCCCAGCTGAAGGGGAAGAAGGCGTCGCTGGCCAGGACGGAGCCCGCCACGTCAGCGGCCGCCTTCTCCAGGGCTATCTCGGTGGACTTGACCCTGCGGGTCAGAGGAGGCGGTTGGGAGGCGGTTGGGAGGCGGTTGGGAGGCGGTTGGAAAGCAGTTGGGAGTCGACATTGACAGCTGGCCGGAAGGTGGGGAGGAAGCTGGTGGGAAGACGGAGCGACACACGGTTGTGAGGCGGTTGGGAGATCAATGCAGTGACCCAGGCACTAAATGCAGGCCCCCAGCACCAGAGAGGCAAGAGGGCTTTCAAGAACGCGTAGGCTTGCAGGGGTCGGCAAACTAGAAGTTGTCGGGTGCAATTCTGCAACTCAAGACGGGGGCCAGCCTTGCTGCGGCCGCATGCCCCCGCCCTGCAAGCCACGCCGTATCATGTCGCTGCACCACGTGCGCCTCAGACTCCCCTTGTGCGCGACGACGCTCCATGCCACAACCCCTCCCGCAGACGTCCCCCAAACGGACTCTCGACCCCACCTGTTGGGCTGCCCGCTGCCCATGCCGAGCATGCGCCCGTCCTTCGCCACCGCGATGGCGTTCGACTTGACGTGCTTCACGCAGCGCCACGCAAACTTGAGGTCCTCCAGCTGCTGCGGCGTGGGCTGCTTTTCGCTGACCACCTCGAATGTGATGTCCTCCGGCGCCAGGCTGTCGGCCCCCTGCTGCAGCCAGCCGCCCGCGACCTGCGGGAGGGGCCGCGCGGTGACACAGATGAGATGACCACATGATTCAGTAAGCATGGCACAAGATGACGATTGTGTGGTGCAGGAAGCTGGTAATACAACAATCTTAATGATATGATTGTCAAGGAAGGGCAAGTGTATGGTAACAGCCCGGCAATTTTGGTGGCGCGTTGTGCTGAGGCTGGCCACCGGGCAATGGCGCGATCGCCGACGAGACGGCGAGTGGGTGCTGCCGGCTGGCAGAACAGGGTTTAGGGCAGGCGCAGAGGGAAACCCCGTCGACGGCGAGCCGCCTCGCGTTTGCAGCCCGCAGCCGCGTCATCCGCCCGTAACCCACCTGGCGCAGCTGCCGCCCGCTGGGTGCCCTGGGCTTGGCCTCCAGGATGCGCAGAGTCTTGGACTTGCCCTGCAAGAGGCGGGGAAGCGCAGTGAATGGGATGGGTGAGATTTGGCAGGGCGTGGTGGGCGCTCAAAGAGACGCCCTGTGGCAACACACCTGCGACAGCTGGGTCCTCACACGCCATCCATAATCTGGGCCCTCGCACCGCCAACGTCCGGCCCAGCTCTTGATCGAGCCAATAAGCACTGCTTTTCCAGCAAGGACCGCCACCCGCAGTCCCGGAAGGTTGCCCCTCCCACCCCCCGACCCACCCACATCCACCTGGCCCTCCAGACCCTTCTCCGAGCCCGCCCCTCCGGCCAACCCCCGGCGCCTCCCTCCCAACCCTCACATATCCCTCCAAGCCCCACCTTGAGCACCTCCAGGCCCTCTGGCGTGTACGAGGGGGCGATCACAATCTCGTAAAACATGCGCGTCTCGCCGTCCGTGGGGGACCTGCAGAGGGTTGGCAACACAGGCAGGTGGGGG